CCTAATAAGGCAACTCAACCTGAAAACCCCTAGCAAGAACCCAGGAGCCGCTGTCGCCGCCGAAGTCGGAACTCCCCCAGGTGACCACGGAGCCTGAGTCCCATGTGACTAGGGTTTAGGGTTTAGGGTTTAGGGTTTAGGGTTTATGATTTAGGGTTTAGGGTGGTAGTTCTCTAAGTTAGAGTCCCTTTTGGGGGTCCTTCTTATATGGGTGCCGTACTTTTGTGGGGACCTAAGAAGGGACCCTAAATTAGAGAACTATTTACATGGGTTTAGGGTTAGGATTTAGGGTTCCTGTGGCGGGCAAACTGCCGGAAGAAGGACATAGCCAATAGCAGTTCCAACACCATTGCCAATTGCCTAACCAATTATTCGGATTGGTGCTTAACCTTACGATTTAGGGGCCAGGGCTGAAAGTTTAGAGTTCAGTGGGTGCCGGTGCAGCCCGCTTACAGAGTGGCCCACATTCGACTTCAGATTGTTAATTTCTGTTCGGCTCGGTAATCCCCCAAGACAAAAAAAGAAAAGGGCATCCCCAAACCCTAAACCCTTCTCCTTTAGCCCTGCAACTCGTAGACAGCCTCCTCACGACTCCCAAGCCCGAAAGGGCACTATCCAGAACTCTAGAGACCCCAGTATGTGTTTGGATCTCTAAATTCGGGTCCCTCTTAGGGCCCTTACCGTGCTATATTATTGGGGACCTACAATTGTTACAAAGGGGCCCTAATTTAGAGAACCATCCATATTGTACTACATTATAAGGATCGTATGTTGCCGAATACTATCGAGCACTCCAGCATAGCACTGTCCACCGAGCATCCATCCTTCGAGACGGCTGCAAAGGAAGCGACAGAAGCCTGGATCCTTGGCTCTTCTTGAGGGATTTCAAGGAAACCATATCAATGACTATAGGTCCCTATTATGGTAACTTAATTTTATTAAATTTAAGTTACCATACTAGGGACCTAGAGTAATTCATAAGATGGTTTCCTTATCATCGTAATTTAACCCTATATAAACCCCTAAACCCTAAACCCGTAGAGCTAAAATGCCCTGAAACCCTCAAATCCTAAACCCCTAAACTCCTAAACCCGTAAAGCCCTGAACCCCCAAAGTGCCCTAAAGCCGTAAACCCCCACACCCCTAAACCATCCGAATCCCTGAATCCTAAAACCCTAAACCCTAAACCTTGAATTTCTAAACTCTAAACCCCTAAATCCATTAAATCACCCTAAATCCCTTAAATCACCCTAAATCCCTTGAATCACCCTAAATCCCTTAAATCACCCTAAATCCCTTAAATCACCCTAAATCCTTTAAATCACCCTAAATCCCTTGAATCACCCTGAATCCCTTATATCACCCTAAATCCCTTAAATCACCCTAAATCCCTTAAATCACCCTGAATCCCTCAAATCACCCTAAATCCCTTAAATCACCCTAAATCCCCTAACAAGAATCCTAAATCCCCTAACAAGAACCCAAAATCCCCTAACAAGAACCCTAAATCCCCTAACAAGAACCCTAAATCCCCTAACAAGAACCCTAAATCCCCTAACAAGAACCCTAAATCCCCTAACAAGAACCCAAAATCCCCTAACAAGAACCCTAAACCCCTTAAGAAGAACCCTAAATCCCCTAACAAACCCTAAACCCTAAACCCCTAAATCCCTTAAGAAGAACCCAGGATCTGGCAGACGTCCCGAAGTTGTTCCTCGCGAGGTGGCCATGCGCTGATGCAGGCTTATAAGGGTTTAGGCTTTAGGGTTTTAGGGTTTAGGGTTTTAGGGTTTGGGGTCGTAAGGTCGCGGCTAATTTAGGGTGTGCAGATACGCATGTGAGAGCTTGTTGAAATTCGGGGCTTGTTTTGGAGGAGGGCTGTGAACAACCGGATCCTACAAATGTGCATATAGATATACGCAGGCCTATGCATGTGCATACACTCGTGCTGCTTGGCCAAAAGAGTGATCTGACCACAAGTCACCGAGTTGTGATTAGCCCACCCGCCTGAACTGCAGCGCTGTCGCCCCCATAGTCGGCGTGTCCCCAGGTTACCACTGAGCCGTCATCCAAGACTGCAGCAAATGCACCTCCAGAAGCTTGAATTCGCTGCACACCTGGAGGGCTTCAAAAAGTGTTTCCCAGCGGGTTTGGGAGCAGAGATCTGACTTCTTCTAGTCTCGGGTTTAGGGTTGCCTTGAACTTAAACCCGAAATACCTTTAAAAAGGGGCCTTGATAAGGGTTTTGGGACCGAAAATACTATAATTATAAAAAGGAACCCCAGAATAATTGTTCAGGCCCCTACATTACTTTTCGGAAATCCCGCCATGAAGCTGGCTCTGGACAGTGCTGCTGTCGCCGCCACAGATTGACCGTCCCCAAGACACCACGGAGCCACCGATGAGCGCAGCAAAAGCAGGCAAAGAAGCAGCAACCTGAGAGTGACCCACCTGGGAGCTGCCACGGTTTAGGGTGTAGGGTTTAGGGTCGTTGTGTAAATTAGGGTCCCTCTGAGGGTCCTTTGAGTAAGGGTTCCGTACTATCTTGGGGATCTATAATTTCCAAAACCCTGATAGCCTAAAACCCGAAGAGCCGAAAAGGCCACCACCTGTAGGGTGAGCACTTCGCCATCGTGAAGGTCAGCTTGCCCAAGGGTTTTTCCTAGGCTCTGCAAGGAACAGGCAAGGGTGTAGGGTTTGGGGTTTAGGGTTTAGGGTTTAGGGTATAGGGTATAGGGTTGAGGGTAAGGGCATTGGGTTTTGGGCTCGGTCCGGAAATGTGGCATTGGGGTTTTGGGGTTTTATGCTTTCTTGGTTTAGGCCCTTTAGGCCATACGACGCACGTAGCGCTAGGATGCAGGCTGTGCCCTCATCTCATGTGTTTGGACACCAATAAACAGCAGGACGAGCTTCAAACTCCCGGTTCAATTCGGTTCAACTGTCTTCTTCAACAACCAGGCCCTAACAAGTTCGAACTTTTTGGGATAGACCTAATACATCAGGCCAAAAAAGTCTATTTTTCTCCCATTGGCTATCTAAGTCAAGTTTCTGCCACAAAGAACTTCTCCAGAAGGGCGCACGAGCATCCCCGGTCCAATCTTTAGCAGGTGCTGCGCCTCTTGCATCAGTTCGGCGACCGAGGAAGTGAGATCTGCATCGATGGATACTGATCTCCCGCTGAGCAGCGTGACGTCGACATGGACCGACATGGCTCGACTGAAGGTCCTGCCCCTAAACTCTACATCCAGCAGCTACACGGTCCAAGCGAAGCCTTGTCCGGTCAGCAGACCCCCCAAACCCGAAAGCTCAGTGCCCAATGCTCAAGTCACAATCCCTGAACACCAAATGCCCTTTGGGGCTTACGGATGTAGGGAAACCCTAAACCCTAAACCCTGAACCCTAAACCAGCTTTGGTTTCTCAAGTCACGGGCTTTCAACTTTGGTGATGTCGGGCTTTAGCCTCAAAGGGTCCCCCGAACCTGCTGCGCCTGAGCACACCTCTGCCTTTGAGCAGGAGATTCTGCGGCTTTGCAAGCGGCTATGGGTTTAGGGTTTAGGGTTTAGGGTTTAGGGTTTAGGGTTTAGGGTTTAGGGTTTAGGGTTTAGGGTTTAGGGTTTAGCTGAAAAAGAGCTTTCGAGCACTAACCACCTTCAGGGTGCTGTTTTCCCGTTGCGTCGAGACGCTACGCCACCATTGTGTTGGATTTATCTTTTCGAGTGGTTAAGATTTAGGGCTTCGGGTTTAGGGTTTACGGTTTAGAGTTTAGGGTGCTATCGTGGCCTGGATCTTTCGCGCGCTTCGGAGGGACAGTGAACTGCAAGGACTTTGGGCCTGGATCTGCTGCTGCACTTCCTGTTAGCCGAGAGCCTGCTCACTGCTCACGGTACTGGGCCCAAATTCAAAGGGCTAGCAAGCCCTGAGGGTCCATGTACCCAAATAGTATATACATTGGCCCCAAAGTACTTTTATAGGGACTACTTTAAGGCCAAAGTATATCTATTTGGGTACATGGACCCTTAGGCAAAAGAACCCAATGGCTCCTGATTAAGCCACATACCTTAAAACATATACATGGCTAAGATCTTGAGACCATACTTGCCATTTACGAAACCCTAGACCCCAAACCGAGGGTATCGGGGGCTCTCTGGTTAGATGTCGACACCCCGAGCCGTTGAGACCCGGATCCCGTAAGCCGATACCCCTCAATTATCGGGAATATGCCTGTCAAATTCTGAGGGCCCTAGCACTATGAGGTAAGGTAATCGGTATAGGCTTATATCAAGGAGTAGGCCTAAACCCTGAAGCTGCGCTCTTCAAAAGTTAGGCATCGCACAAACATAGCCTTCCTCAAACCGTGCAAGCCACTACAAGCCACTGGTAAATCTACAGCACGCTTCAGAACACTGTTTGAGCCATGATAACACCACGTTAAAAATCCTTACAGTAAATTCCCCTGTCAAACCACAAACGACCAGTTTGCAGAACCAAGCCAATGCAAACTTGGATAGAACACTAGAAGTGTGTTCTAAGCGCCCGTTTAAAGCCCAGAAACTGCTCCGGGTTCTGTAGCGATCGGATCGGCTGATCGTCGCCCGAGAAAACACGGAGCAATCTTCGCTCCTGGAGGATGTCTAGGGTTTCGGGTTTAGGGTTTTAGGAAGGTTTAGGATTTAGGGTGGGCCCGGTAAGGACCCCCATGGAAGCTGTTATACAAATCCAGGTTTTACAAAGGATTCTATAGGGTTGCATTCTGAGGATTCTGTACGGTTTTACAGCCGTTCTATGAGGGTTTTTTAAGGTTTAGGGTGCAGGGTTTACGAGGAACGTATTGTTTTCAGATTTGGGGTTTAGGTTCGGGGTTTAAGAGCTCGGGCTTTTGAGTTTCGCACTGGAGTTTGCGGTTTAGGTTTTGGGTTCAATTTTTAGGACCCGGGGTTTAGCGTTTCTAAACCCTAAACCCTAAAGAACTCAAAACAAGTCATAATAGCCCTCAAAGGAACCCTAAAAACAAACCTTTCAGGGTTCAGAACATAGCTTTCGCGCAGCATTTAGCACTACAGGCTTAGGGATCTAACGAGGGGTCGGTGGAGAGGCGAGGGTTGAGCAGTGTCGGGCTCAGGGTTTAGGCTTCAGGATGCGGGTTTGGATTTGGGCTTTTGGGTTAATCTAAGGTTTATAGGGTGTATAAAGTTTAGGGTTTCGGGCTTAGGGTTTAAGGTTTCTAAAGTTTATGAAGTTTACGGTTTAGGGTCCAAGTTGTGGTTGGCTTCGGTGTAGGGTTTAGGGTTTAGGGATTGAAACCGTCTTAGAGTCTTTGCGAGCGGCCCCAGATCCTGAAGGACTACATTTGGGTTTAATCGCGTGGTCATGTTGCAAAACCCTAAACCCTAAACCCTCTTAGGGTTTAGGGTTTCGGGTTTTGCAACAGGAGTCAAGCGACCAGCAAACCCCTATATCTTAAGTGGCGCCTGCTCTGTGACCTTCAGTTCAGGAGCATCCCGAAGCCAGTTACCTGACAGTCGCGTCTACTGGAGGGGCCTTAATAATTAGAGTAGGGTTTTGGGGGCTCCTTTTTGTCATTATAGTATAGTATACCCCAAACTCTATTCCAATTATTCAGGCCCCTGTAGCAGTCTATGAGTGAGGGCTTATAGGGCTAAGGGTTTGGGGTTTAGGATTTAAGGTCTGCACTATGAGTGGGGGCTTATAGGGTTCATGGTTTACCTTGACCTAATCACATTTAAGGAACTAGTGGACAAGGTACGTTTCTGAGGGTCCATGCTTTAGGGTCTAGGGTTTTGGGTCGGTTTCTTCGGGTCCATGGCTTAGGGTCTAGGGTTTTGGGGCGGTTTCTTATCGTCCATGGCTCAGGGTTTAGGATGTTGGGTCGGTTTCTTAGGGTTCCTGGTTTAGGGTCTACTTGGAGGTTCACCGGTAGTTTTAGGTGGTGTTGTAAGTAAGGCAACTGTAGTTACAACCCATATTCGGGGATGTAAAACCCCTACTGAAAAACTTAAACCCCTAAACCCTAAACCATGAACCTCCGAGTAGGGTTCTCTATAACGGGTCCAAGGTTAGGGCTGAGAGGCTGTTCAAGCTTATGGGCAGTTCTCTAAGTTAGGGTTCCTTGTTTTAGAACTCCTTAAATGGATCTATACAGGCTTCTATAGAGGTTCTATAAGGGTACTATACGGGTCGTTCTCTAAAGCAGGGTCCCTTTTTTGGATCCCAAACATACTACGGCACCCTTATAAAAGGAACCCAAAAGGGACCCTAACTTCGAGAACTGCCCTAATTAGTGCAGTTCCGGATCTCTTCAGGCTCTCTGGCCGCAGTAGGCTAACTCCGTACAGTTTTTGTCGATCACGGTTTAGGGTTCAGGGTTTAGGGTTTAGGGTTTAGGGTGTTGTCGATCCGGATTGAACCGCGATGGCAAACTCCTGAGGGAGCCAGAAAGAAGGCCAAGAGACTCTACACAACCCTATACCTCCAGGGGCTGCAGGGTTTAGGGTTTAGATGGGTTTAGGACTCAGATATAGCCCATGAACATCCAGGAACGCCAACTCTTAAGAACTGCTGGGTTCAGAGCTTACGCATCTTCACTCTTAGTTTTAGACACGCAGACCGTAAAGCCCATCAGCTTCATCCTATGCCTCAAAGCCTGAAACCCGCAGGTCGGATGATCATCGGACTTAGCAAGTAAGGTTTAGGGTTTAGGGTTTAGGGTTTAGGATTTGGGTTTAGGGGTTTAGGGGTTTAAGGTTTAGGGCTTAGGCATAAGGCTAGAGCTGCAAAATAAGTCAGTTCTAAGAAACAAACGTACAGCTACCATAATCGCACTAGTGACTACGTCCCAGGCCCCTTTACGTATACCCCGGAACCCTAAACCCCATACCCCTAAACCCTAAAACCTTCACCCAAAAACAACCTAAACACCTAAACCCTGAGCCCTGAACCCTTCACCTCTAAACGCTACACCCCTAAACCCTTCACCCCTAAACCCTGAACACCATAACCCTGAACCCTAAACTGTATTTAGGATCCTTTAAATAGACCCCAGAACTCAAACCATGAACCAAATAGACCCAGAACCCCAAACCCTTTACCGTATTATTGAGGATCCTTTAGGACACCAGCGCTAGGGAAGGATGCAGCCCAGTTGCTTAGGAGCTCTCTCCAGGGAGGGCGATGGTTCGGTTCCTGGCATTTCTTTACGTTTAGGGTTTATAGGGTTTAGGGGTTTTTTCTTTGAGGTTTTTGAGCTATGGAGTCCCTTTTGAGTTTCGGATGTGGGGTCTCCTTGCGGTTTAGGCTTAGGGGACCTCTTTGGGGCTTTTAGGCTTTATGGGGATCTCGTGAGGGCTTTCGGTTGTGGGGTCTAGGGCTCAGGGCTTGCATGTGTTCGAATGCGCTGAGAGTTGAAGGCTGACGTTTGGGGTGTAGGGCGTTTAGAGCCCATTCTGGGGGGGTTAGGGTATAGGGTTTAGGGTCTACGGTATAAGGTTCTGAGGGTCTATAAACCCTAAACCCTAAACCCTAAACCCTAAAGTAGGGTTTAGGTTCTAGGGTTTAGGGTTCAAGGCTCGAGGCTCCGGGTTTCAGAGCATTTTAGGGGTCTGGACTCGGAGTTCAACTTTTGCTGGGGCCTTTGATGAACTTCGTCGTGGAGGATTTAGGGTTTAGGGTTTAGGGTTTAGGGTTTAGGGTTTAGGGTTGAGGGTTGAGGGTTTAGGGGTTGAGGGTTTAGGGTTTTAGGGCACTCGTGCTCCTCCTAAACCCTGAACCCTGAACCGAGCGTTTTTCTGACAAGACGAACCCCAAGCCTGCAGCAACAAGGCCGCCCCCTCAGAAAAGCACGCACGGTTTAGGGCTTAGGGTTTTGGGGTTTAGGGTTCAGGGTTTACGGTTTAGGTTTTAAGGTTCAGGGTTTAAGGTGTAGGGTGTAGGGTTCAAGGTTTAGGGCTGAGCACCCCAACCCGAAACCGAAACCCACACCCCTAAACCCTAAACCTCAAAGTGCCACTCAAAGGGGCCCAAAAAACCCTGAAAGAAACCCGAAACCCATAGAGGAACCCTTAACCCAAGTGGCCCTAAACCCTAAACCCCTAAACCTCTAAACCCTAAACCCCTAAACCCAACAAAAACCCAAAAATCCCTGAACCCCTAAACCCCTAAATCCTAAACCCTAAAAGCCCCAAAAGCCCAAAA